TTCGAAATTGGAAAAATCAATGTCCAAAATCACAAAAGAAGAATAAGAAGAAGAAGAAGAAGAAGAAGATGATGATGACGATGATGAGGAAGAAGAAGATACTTTTGGCGGTGACGTCCAATGAAGTCAACCGGAGTAGGTATCTAGTGCGTCAGCGACGGTGATTTCGACATCGGCGACGGTGGTAATTCGATCTGAATCGATGAAGTTGTTTGGAACGAAGGGCAGGCGATGCAGGGGTGTCGAAGTTGTTTGGTGCGCAAGGGAGCCACCAGTTGCCACCTTGCACTGTGGTGAAGATCCTGAAAGGCAACGACTTTGACAAGGGGAAGATGTTTGAGGCCGATGTGCTTGCAGGCTTGCTGGCACGAACGCTCTCGCTGGCTTTGAGTTTGATGTTTTAGCGGATTGAGCGATTGTCTATTAATTTTTAATTGAGGGTATAATTGTCACTCCAATTAAGTTTGCGGTTGCTATTTTGCTATTTCTAATTGGGATAGTTCGGCCCAAATAAAAGAAAAAAAATGCCCGAGCAGCTACTGTCCAAGAATGGAGAATAAAGTCTATGTCCAAACATAAAAGGACAAATCGGAATGTTGGTGATGTGGAACCCTAGCCTGTGTTGTGGTTTACGATGTTTGATCGACGATAAGGTAAATGGATCTCTGCCCACACTCAAATTATTTGTAGTAAATAAAATTTACATATTTAGAAATTACATTAAAAATTTTACAAAGTCGCAAAAGAAAATATCAAATTTCATAAAAGTTTGATATATAAAATAAGAGATTAAGAGTGATATGTGTTGATCAAGTTAATAAGAATTGAGACCATTAAATTGGGACGGAAGTAGTTCACAAGTAAATAAAAAAGAGTGGTTTATTACATACAAAATACAACAAATTTTTACAAAAACTCGAAATGATTTTTTGTTGTCATTTATTTGATTACATAGTTTCATTTCATTCTCCAATTTAAGGACAAATAATCATTTAGTTTTTGCAAAGCAATGATAAAATTATTTTTAATGAAAAGAAAATCGAGAACTGGGCATGGAAGTGTTAAGCTGACGATGATCACATTCATTTACATAGTAGTTATACTTAGGGAAATGCACTTACAGCACAAGGTAGAATTTTACTGTTGGGGGTGACCATTTATGACATTTTCAATCAATCAACCACATTAAGAGCCCGTTTGGTAACATTAAAATTGGTTGTATTGGCTAATTCTGCTGATTCATGAAAAAATTATATTTAAAATATTTGTTATTAATAAATAAAATAAAAAATTATATCAAAATAGCTAAAATGATCCTCTACAGTAACTTCAGTCAATACAGCCAGAAAAGTAACCCCAACCTTACTTTTTCTGCTTATTACACAATTCAGCGCGCGAAATCAATGATTACGTGTTTGGTGAAAAAGCTGGCTGATAAGCCTGATAAGCCGAAAAAAGGGGTCACCAAACGAGCTCTAAATTTTGAATGATAATACTAGGTATATACTTATTTATGTAGGAAAATATGTATACTATGAAAAAAGGATGGCACCACATCCCTAAGGGCCCCTAACATCGATCAGACAGTTGGATGGAAGGATGTAAATTGGAGTTTAATCACAAGCTGACAGATAGAGAGTGAGACTCTGACCCTGGTAGTTGCAGTGCCCTATGCATTTTTAGCATACTAACCTCTCATCGCAGTTGTTGAGATTCGAACCCGAGACTTAACCCTCTATCTACCAGTTGAGCTACGCTCAGAAAAATAAAATTATAATATTTAGGAAAATATTTATAATATGATGATGATGTGGAGATGCTTTTTATTAAAAATATTACCATAAAATTATTTAAAAAAAATCGCAAACATATATTAGTTAAATGATTGATCAAAACTTATCAGCTTCAGAGTTAATTATGACAACGAGGGAGGATATAAGTTAAATTTCAATTTCAAGAACTTAATAGTAAATCAGATAATTCTTTCTGCGAATAACTACCCATAGCAGTGGCAACCGTGCAGAACTATCGACCTAATAAGGCAATGTTGTGTCCAAGGCAACCGACGCAATTGGGAAGAGTTAGACCAGAGCCCTATTGTGGTCAAGGTGGTCAGCTGATCCCTCTGAAAGTTCAAGATGTAGATCTCTGAAATATCTTCGATTTGATATATTACGGGCCTCGTAACTCATTACGAGTAAAAAAAATACGACTTCTGAAAAAATCAGCACCATTTTAACTTGAAATAAGCAAATTTGATGTGTGACATTGATTATATTCTTAAATTTAACATTAAAACACTTTATTCAGTCATTAGTTGTGTGAACATTATGATACATTACATATATATCAATACATTAACCGAAAAATGCTCATTAAACTATCATTATTTCAGCTACATAAGAAACATTTAACTCAAGTATTGTATAATAACTATCCATCATTTTGGTACTGTATATAATTAAATTCCGATCCCCCACACATTTTTCTGGTTCCGCCCGTGGCTATTGTTATCGCTTGATTCGTCTGCATATCTTCTCTTTTCATTGGTGCCTTTTCGTTCGACGGTCTTTTGCCGAGAATAAATATTTAGGTCCCTTGTGAACGGTGTTGTGGTCTTTGTTTCGTCTTGTTGTTTACGAAGAGGAGTAGCCTTTCTGCAACTTTAATTGTGTTGGAATTGTTTGTGATTTTCTGCACAGTTTCATTGTGACATATTTATCTAATTTTATCATGGAGAAAATTACTTGGGTATATGAAAGAACGTCTATTGATGAAGAGGAAGGTTGCACTGGTGTTTGAAGTACATGCTCTGGTGGTGATTCAAGCAATCATGGATAGACAACGATGACTCAAAAATAGCAAATAGGTAGTGCTCTCAGAGCAACACAACCTATAATTGTGTTAGGGCATGAGATCGGGAGAACTTCCTTAGATGTGGCTGATCAAATCTTGACTCTTTTTCCGGTGACTGGAGAAATCGGGATACTTGGTGTATTATGTTTCCCTTCTTATCGGACAATTTGTTTTATTTCCATTACCATTTGAATAGAAAGTTTAGTACTCCTTAATGCTATTAAATTAGTCTACATATTTGTGGGGATGAGCAAATTTGTTTGGCTATTGAGGGTCATTCAATTCTATGTCTTATTCCAATGTAATGTTGAACTATTGTATTGCTTATTCCCTTGATACTTTTATCATTAATACTCCCTCCGTCCCTAAATGTTGTTCCAATTACGGATTGCGAAGGTTGATCGACGATAAAGTTAAATGATCCATGTGAAAATTCGGATTATTTTTAGTAAATAAAATTTACATATTCAGAAACTACATTAAACCCGCTACAAAGCCTGCAAAAAATAATTCAACTTTTATAAAATTTTGATATAAAAAGTAAGAGTTTAAGAGCGATTTAAGTTGACCCTCGATAAGCGAAATATAACTTCTTTTAGGGACAGAAGGAGTAATAAATAAGTTTCCTTTTTCAAAAAAGAGAGGGAGGGTAATAACAATAATACTATCGAATGTGTGTATATAAATAAGTCGAAGTATATAGGTTTATAGGAAAGTCATCTGTACACATAATTTATACACATTTGTTGTAGATCAGACCCTCTTAGTAAAAAAAAAAAAGGATGACACCCCATCCCTGAGGGCCCCCCAACTACCGACCGGACGGCACGATGGGAGGATGTAAATTGGACTATAATCACAATCTGACAGATAGAGAGTGGGGCTCTGTCCCCGGTACTTGCAGAGGCCCTATGCATTTTTCAGCATAGTAACCCCTCATCGCAGTTGCCGGGATTCGAACCCGAGACCTAACCCTTGTGGCACTCCCTTGCTACCAGTTGAGCTACGCCCACCGGTAGATCAGACCCTCTTAGTTGTCTGTGTACCGTTCAAAAGTTCCCTCTACATATGGAACTAAATATTATCCGCAGCAAATGTGTATAAATTATGTATACAAGTAGCACCCTATGCGTTTACAATAAAGTCAAAATAAAATGCATTACGTAGTACGTATGTTTGATTGGCCGGCCGGAGAGCTACTGGCGGCGGTAAGGCCTAAGCAGCTGAAGGAGAGAACCACTGAGGTGGAGAGACATGACTTCGCTGGTGGACCCGACGAGCCTTCCGCCAATGAAAACCGCCGGCAGTGGGGTGGCAACGTTGGCACGGCCCATGGCGGCAGCGAGGCTGACCTCAATGTCCTTGCCGTCGCGGTGGTCGGCGTCGAGGTGGTGGAGGTGCGGCTTAACTCCGAGCTTGTGGAAGAGGACGTTAACGGCGTAGGAAAGGCAACATTCGGTGTTGCTAAAGATCACCACGCCGTGTTCTGCCGTCAGCCTCTCCACCTTCTCCATCCGGCCTACAATTTTACACACCGATAGGGTTGTTGGTAAGATCGATGGGAATTGTATACCGACCGAGTCCAGTGGAAGGAGCCCTACTTATATATGAGACCCAGCTCATTTTAGTCACATCTACACTTAAAAAAATACCATTACATTTGATATTTTTAAAAATTGAAGAGTCAAATTGGTTTATGTATTCGTTGGGAATGTTCATTTGATTCATGAATTAAAAAATTGAAATTCTTGATCTTAATAAAAAGATTTAAATTTCACCTTTTGTGTGCAATGGTTCGGTCACCGTCATGCCACTCGATAAAGTGTCAACTGTGCATCTGACGTAACAACTTAAAGCTCAATCAAGCCCCCCTCAACACGAACAAGTTGTTCATTTCATTTCATTCAAAAGTGTTTTAATTTGAATGAAAAAAGCTAATATTGATATAATAGAAACACAAACTTGGAGTAACTAACACAAACACATCCAATTCGGTCATTTGCCTTAAGATTGGAAACAGAACTCCTCGCACTAGAAAATACACAGTAATTTACTAAGAGAACTCTTCGCTCTAGAAGAGAAGAAGAAAAGTAAATATAGTAGGCATGAGAAAAAAGTGGAAATAATAGAAAAGAGAACCGGAAATGGTGAGAAAAACAGAAACAACGAGAAAATTTAGAGTAAAAGTTTCAAAAGGGATCAAATCGTAAAGTTACCTTTTACAAAAGAAATATGTTCCCACTCTTGTAGAATTGTTGAAGTATTGTTAATTTGTATACCTACGACATGTTTACTTCACGGGATAATAAACGCGTATGGTGCATATTTTTGTGTGTGGAAGAAATAGACTTAAATTGATAACAGATCATTTAGATAGTAGGTAATCCGGCAAAAAGACTTGTGAAAATCGTCGTCCCTCGAACCAGAGACGGTCATTTAGATAGTAGGTAACTCGTTGATCCATTTATGGGCACAAATGAGCCAAACACGGTCATCACAGTCAATTCATCACTCACATCCAAAACCAAATACACAGTTTTACAACCGAAACACGGAGTACTAAAAACAAACGTAAACTGACAATATCAGACCATTAAAATAAATAAAAGCAACAATGTAAAAGTCCTCACCCAGTCTTCAAAAAACCTCTATCTTCCAACTCTCTGGCGCTGACCTCTACAACGTTGACAATGGCGGGCTTACCCCGGCCTCTAAGCCCGCCTCCTTCCCGTTTTTTGTCTCATCCACTGCCATACTATCTCCCACCCGACCACCGGTTCTCTTTTTTCCACCGCCTCCCAGATGCGTCTGCGTTTTTGTTCCCTCGCTATCTCCTCGTTACCTCCCAAGCTCACGTCTTTGGTCGAGCTGCTGACTGAACTCGCCTTGTATTCCTTTCCTCCTTCCATCCTTCCGTCTGATTTAATCTGCTCTCTCTTAAGAGGATCCCGACTCGAGCTTGAGGACCCGTCCACTAGCCATTCATTTCCTCCTATAGGATTTGTCTTCACCCGCTATCTGCTCTGAGCTGTATTCCAAACCTTTTTTTCTAGCACTAGATCTTCTTCATACACCAACAGACAGAAATTTTCAGAGTGACCTATGATTCCGCAGACAAAGCAAAAATTTGGCAGCCTCTCATACTTAAAATCTACCCAATGTCCGATACCTTTTTTCTTAAGAGTAGTGCCCTTTTTCAAGGGATTTTCCGCATTCGTACAGACCCTAACACGCAGATAGGATTCCCATTTTTCTCCAAATTGTTAATCATCATAACTAATGAACTTTCCGATAAAATTACCTAACCGTCTTGTTGTACCTAAATTCATTAAGCTATACGGGACATTATGTCGCACTTGCACCCAGAATTCAGCCTCATTCAAACAGATCTTATACGGAATATCATTTGGTTTAATTTCTTTCAAGATCAACAAAATCCTCTAAAACTGCCATGGACCACCATTAAGCACACGTTTCATATCAACAGGATGATAAAAAGCAAAGATACACCTGTTATCACAGACTTCTTTGATCGCTACACCCTTTCTTGGCCTCCACAGTGATGCCATAAGCTCTTTGAAAGCTGGAAATTTGATTTTCCTGTCTGTCAGCAAAACTCTGACCACCGGATAGGCCGGCTGAACTTCCTCTGCTCGGACATCATCTAGTTCGCCATCATCCAGATCCAGTTCCTCCACATCCTCTCCGATGTGCATTTTCTTATATTGATTCACAACTTGTTCCATGCAACCGCTCTCCTTCCTCGATCGAATCCGTCGTCGATCCCCTCTGGACCGTCACAGTCAAGAGTGCATGAATCCTCGAATCAGCCGGCTACGTTTCAATCTCCGCCTCCAAAACGTCAACACATCCGTCCTCCACTCCACGACGAACGCAACCTGCTGTGAATCCTCGATCTTGCCCGACTCCGTCTCTTTACTTCCTTCGATCACTTCCCCGAACACCGGCCAAATTGACGGAGAAGAAGAAACACATCGCTCCTCGACCGAGATCGATAGCAGAAGAAACACCTCTAGTGGTCAAAATCCTAGAGAGAGAAAAAGAATCTTTTATTTTTAATAAACAGTGCTTATTAAAACATGTATTAGTAAATGATGCATAAAATAAGCCGTACTATAAAGAGCCGTTTGGCAAGACTGATTTTCGGCTTATCAGGCTTATCAGCCAACTTTTTTTCACCAAACACGTAATTTTTGCTTTCGCGCGCTGAATTGTGTAATAAGCAAAAAAAGTAAGGTTGGAGTTACTTTTCTGGCTGTATTGACTGAAGTTACTGTAGATGATCATTTTAGCTATTTTTACATATAACTTTTTCTTTATTTTATTAATAAAATATATTTTAAAGATAATTTTTCCTTAAATAAACAGAATCAGCCAATGCAACCACTTCAGCCAGAACTTCATAAATTTCAGCAGAATCAGCCAAAACAACCGATTTTCGTGCTACCAAACGGGCTCTAAATATATGTTTATTTTACATGATTTAAAATGTCATTTAACATAAAATAAACAGCGCTATAAGAATTGTACACTTGCCCGCACTTTAATTTCCTAGTGTCGAGGGGTTCTAATCTCTTACTCCGTATCTAAATGCAAAAGAAGCTAATGAACAGTATTCCTAGCTACCTAAAAGTGTACATCAAAATAAAGCATATGCAAACATTCCAATTGACTAATAACATAAAAAAAATTAATAAGCAAATATCGTACTCGAACATCCCAATCTATTACACCCTCCTCAACAAGATTGCCCAATAAAATGAAGATATTCAGAAGCCAAAAAAATGATGATTTGTAATTTGTGTGGGATGGTACACAATTTGATGATTGTGTCCATGTACAGTACATAAATACACATTAAAGTATGTTCAGGAAATATTTCCCCATATTTTCTGCCAAAGAATATGATGATTGTGTGGGATGGTACACAATTTGATGATTGCTTGTGTACATGTATAGTACACAATTTTGTGATTGTGTGGGATGGAGTAAGAAAATTTGAAGATATTCACACTTTAAATATTCAAGGTTACATCTCCAATCCCAAGTACCCCCATGCCCCATGGCCCAATGATGATATACCTTGTACTCGTACGCACCAAAGGTCCAGTTAAGGTTGTAAACGAACTAAACCGAGTCGAATAATGTGATTTAGTATTTGTTTAATTTTTTCGGATACGAAACGAATATTACTTTCGATTTGCATTCATATTTGTTTGAAAATACGAATAGTTAATGAATCATATACGAATTGAATATCGAATCGATTAGAGCATAATATAAATATTAGTCAAATATCACTTTAAAAAAACTTTTCTTATATTTTTTATGTTATAAATGCATGCAATGACTTCAAATGTCTATTTAGAATTTAATTGTAACATTACATTTTTCTTTAAAAATTTAATTGATATGGACCAATGTATTTTTAGACTGTGCACAATATACTAAAGTGAATCAATTTTATGATTAATAAACATAAATCTATTTCAAAGTTTTTGAAATAAGCACTAACATACACACATATTTTAAGTTATACTTATAAAGTTATAATGTGTGAAATAAGTTGATCGATAATTGTATATATCAAAGCCAAGCAAATCTAATTTTATATTAGATATTTAGCAGTGTTGCTAATAAAAAATCATTAGATATATAGTGTATACTATACACACACAAACATAGTGGGTAGTTTATGCACACACATACTATGTAGTTGATTTTTTATATGTATACATGAATATATGTGATTATTCTTCGATTCGAATACATAATTATTTGTATTCGTATTTGAAAGATGTTTGAACCAAAAATCAGATTTGTATTCGTATTTATATTCTATATTTTCAAATTCAAATCATAATTTTTGAATCCAAATCATGAATTGAATTAAAATTATTTGCTTCGTTTACAACTCTTACTCCCTGTGGTACTTCCGATTTATTACAAATGAACTTGGAATTTGTATACACTTGGAAGATATAATTATCTTTTAAAAGTTAGTATATTGTTATTACTACTATTATTAATATTAGTATTATTATTGTTATTGTTATTATTGTTATTATTGTTCTTATTGTTGTTGTTGTTGTTGCTGCTGCTGTTGCTGTTGCTGTTGCTGTTGCTGTTGCTGTTGCCGCCGTCGTCGTCGCCGCCGCCGCCGCCGCCGTCGTCGTCGTCGTCATCATCATGATTATTATTATGATTATTATTAATTACATCACTATTGTTAATAGAATATATTTGATTATCATCGAATCAAATACACTAATATTGTTATTTGTATTCGATAACAATTCGGACAAAATTTAGTATTCTTATTTATATTTGAATTTCTTGAATCCGAGTAGTCTTGTACGAATTCGAATCCCGAAGCGAGCATAAATTATTTGATTCATTTACAACCCTATGTCCAGCCCAAGACACATATTCTATAACCTTCATACGGCCGCTGCGGATTTTGATCCATGGTCAATGTTCCAACTTTCTTACCGGCCACTCAATCAACTGATGAGCTACCTGTGCGAATGATATTCACAATTTAAGAGCCCGTTTGGTAGCACGAAAATCGGCTGTTTTGGCTGATTCTGCTGAAATTTAT